AGAGCCCAGAACCTTCTCACATGTTGCTTCCAATCTCTGTCCCCCATCCTGCATTTATGTCCTTGGTTTTTGGACCCCCATTCGAGGGGTTGTACATGTCCCTATTACACATTGCATTGTTCAGAGGTCTGTGATAGAATAGGGGTATTTGTATTAGTTTGAAACCTCAGTAGGACATTTTCGTATTTCATGAAGGAGAAAAATAAGGAAAAGGAGCAAGAGTTTTAAGGAAGAGAGGGGATTGCTTAGAAAAGAGGGTAGGAGACTCCTGAAGTATTTCCTGGTGAGGGATGTCTGTGAGTGAGTGTATGAGCAGAAGGAAAGAAACCACTGATGAGGGAGGATTTGAGATCTGGGAATAGGGACAGTTACCAAATGAGGATATAAGAGGGAATGGGGTCAGAAGCAGTGGAGGGGGTAACATTGTAGACTAGACAGGAGAATAGAAACACTTGCAGTGCTGCTGTGCTTTCACTGTTGGCTCTGTTCACCTGTTACTTAATCCAGGCAGCAGCCTGTGAGTTTGGTGATATTTCAGATCAAGAAGCTGAGGCTATGGAGGCAAAGAAATATGTATAAAGTCACATAGCCAGGTAGTGACAGAGCAGGATTCAAACCAAATCCCATGCTGTACTCAGTTCCTCAGATAGCCCTAACATGGGTAAAGAGCAAGTTAGATTATGGCTAAAGGTCAGTGAAAACAAGACTGTGAAGTAGATATATCAGAAGAGTGTTTAGAATGAAAGGTCCTTGCCCTAACTGGTTTGGCTCAGTGGATAGAGTGTCGGCCTGCGGACTGAAAGGTCCCAGGTACGATTCCAGTCAAGGGCAGGTACCGTGGTTGCAGGCACATCTCAGTAGGAGGTGTGCAGGAGGCAGCTGATCAATGTTTCTCTCCCGTCAGTGTTTCTAACTCTATCCCTCTCCCTTCCTCTCCGTAGAAAATCAATAAAATATATTTTAAAAAATAAGTAAATAAAAAAAATAAAAGCAAAGGCCCAGCTTAGCTGAGGTGTTACTTTAAGCCAATTCTTTCTCATTCTAGCTTTGTATTTAGCACTTTGTAACCAGGTGAAAAATTTTGTATTGGTTGCTTTCTTCTGAAATTATTTGGGAGTACTCTCTTGAAATAGAGATGAGATGATAAAATTGTATATACATGTAGTAATACTTATATACATATATCTGCAAAGCACAGTGAATTACTGCCTGAATTTATTTGTTCTTTGAATGACATATATGGAATTGCCCCACAACAACAACAACAAAAATGATTGGCCTTAAGAATTGTAGGACCTAGCGGGTAGTTCAGTTAGTTAGAACATTGTCTCGAAATACCAAGATTATGGGTTCAATCTCTGGTCAGGGCGCATATAAGAAGCAACCAATGAATGCATAAATAAGTGGAACAACAAATTGATGTTTCTCAAATCAATAACAAATTTTTAAAAATTTGTTTAAAATTTTTTTTTCTTTTCAAAATTTGGAGCTTGATTTTCTTGCATCTCTTTTTTGTAGGCCTTTGCCCAATTTGATGCTGAAGGTGATGGGACAGTTGATGCTGAGAGCATGTTGGAGGCCCTCAAGAATTCCAGTGGAGCTAATCTTCAGGGGGAGCTGAGTCACATCATCAGACAACTTCAAGCTTGTTCTCTTGTTCCAGGTATAAGGCCTTCATCTGAGTGCCTAATGCTAAAGGGCACTCTCTCAGCCAAAATGAACTTTGCAGTATTATGGGTTGTAATTAGGCAAGCTTGTGGGCACTGTGAAATAAAGGTACTTCATAAGGCATATGATCTGAACTAATTCTGTTCAATGTAATCATTTCTTTGGTCCCCCAGTACAGTGATGGTTGAGCAGTTCTACCATTTTTATGAACCTCTGTCATGAGACTACCACTCTTAGTGGGTCTTTATTTCACTCTGTTGAAGCCTTTCCTGCCCCCTATTGTACTTTCTCCTAGCATCCTGCGTTTCTTTTTTGCAACACAGTAGCATTGTGATTAGCTAAGTAATTACTTATTTGTTAAATGCCTATCTTCACTCTTATACTGTGAGCTCTGTGAGGGTAGGGACCTTTTATTTCTGCTGTGTCCTCACATTTAGTACATAATTTGGCACATGGTAGGCACTCAGTGTTTTTTTTAGAAAGCTTTCACCCTGAACTTTAAGTAAGAATAAAAATAGCTTGAAATTAAGCAATATTTTTTCTACATTGTACATATGGAAAACTTTGGTTTTGTATGGTTTCTTTTGAGGGCTCTGAAGACAGAATCATCATAATAAAATTACCTTTTTTCCCCCAGTGAGAAAACAAATTTGAAAGGGGGAAAAAAAAACTTGACACACCATCTTTTTAGGCTCTGATTATCTTACCTAAGAAGTTTTCCTGCTTTGTGCCCTTGGAGTCATAATACTTAGTATAGAGCCAAGCTAGGGCAGCAACGGAAGAAGATTTGATAGATATGTAATTGTAAATCTGATTGCCCTTGACCTCTGGCTTACTGCTGATGATGTATTAAGCAAAGGAATGGTGGTTTCTGAATTCCACCGAAGAATGCATATTTCCATTCTTCCTTAAATTGTCTTTAATTATATAATTTTTATAAAATTTAATTGTGTAATTTTTATAGGAAGCCTTACATATTAACTTTTTCCTACTCTCATGGCAATTAAAATTATGTTTTGAGTTATATTTAGCTGCCTTATATCTTGGCATTTACATATTACTCATACTTTTGCGTTAGTAGCTTGTGACAGCATCAGGAACTTCATTTGCACACCGCAAAGAGATATTTTGGGAGGAGAGGGAAGGAAGGGGAGACCAGTGAACCCACCAACAGATGACACTTTGTGTACTTTGCTCTAAGGTGACTGTGGGGAGAGAGGAGATTAGGTTAGAAAAATTGGGGCTACAGATCCAAGGCTTAGGACTTTCTACTCACAATGTTCTGTCAGTACCCGACTTAAAAGAATTGTTTTATCACGATCTTGGACAAACCTTAGTAAGCTGAGTCACCTCGTTGGTAGGATTTCAGTTTCCTAGTCTCTTTTTCAAATCCAGACTGAAACTTGTTCCTTTTGTATCTCATTGTACTGGTGCTTAGGTTTTTTTTTTTTTTTTATAATATGTTTTGCCCTAACTGATTTGGCTCAGTGGATAGAGCGTTGGCCTGCAGACTGAAGGGTCCCAGGTTTGATAATGGTCAAGCAGGCACATCCCCAGTAGGGAGTGTGCAGGAGGCAGCTGATCGATGTTTCTAGCTCTCTATCCCTCTCCCTTCATCTCTGTAAAAAATCAATAAAATATATTTAAAAATATGTTTTTATTGATTTTCAGTCAAAGAGGAAGGGAGAGGGAGAGAGAGAAACATCAATCGGCTGCCTCCCGCATGCCCCCTACTAGGGATCAAGCCTGCAAGCAGGACATGTGCCCTGACCTGTAATCCAACAGGGTCTTGGTGGACAGGACGATGCTCAACTAAATGAGCCACACCAGCCAGGGGAGTGCTTAGAATTTAAACGAGAAGCAGCACCTTTACTGAATCGATTGCTTCTTCCAACATATGAAAAAATATTTCTCATTACAAGAATCAGTCTGTGTTTTCTCATGGGTTCTGGGAAATCAGTGCAGCATCAGCAGGGTCATAATGTGAGGTTTGAGCGTTACTGTGAGAATCTGCTAGGAAAAGAAAACTGTAAAAGGAGGGCAAGAGATGGCATGGACTCTGAGTCTTGCTTGGGAGGTCAAACCCGTGTCTTTAGGGTTGTGTATGGGGCATAATCAAAATGAGCTGCTTCAAGTGCAAAATTTCTCCTCAGCCTCATGTTTCATCCACTCTAACATATCTGTTTGTTTTACACTTAAAAACAATTTCTCCTACAGGCTTCTGGAGTTTTGCTCTGGGTGTTGCTTACCTGGGTGTGTTTAGTTTGTGGAAGCTCATTAAGTGATACAATTATAGGTACTTTTTGCTATGTATGTTATGATTTACTAGAAAATAAAAAAAGAAAGGAAAGCCCTTCAGGTCTACAAGTGTATCTGAGCTCCAGGCAAAGCCGTCATGTTTATCGTCTCTTCACTTGGCCCTAACATTCTTTTGGTTTCTGGGCACCTCAGTTCAAGGCATCTTATTGTAGGTTATGGGGAATCAAGAAAGGCTTTTAAAGAGGAGTAGACATGGTCTGTTTTGTGTTTTTATATGATTACTTGGGTTAACGTCAGACAAAGGGTGGTGAGGGGAGCTACTTAGAAAATCTGGGCAGGTGTATGAATGGGAGATGTTGAGGTCAGAGCCTGTACAGTGGCCAGAGGGAAGGACAGATGGCGGAGCGTCCAGAGGAGTCACATGGGAAAGAGAAACTGTAATGGTGGGAGGAGCACTGGAGACAGTGTAAAGGGGTCTTCCCAGTGCTACCCTTTTTTGTTGTCTTTGTGTCACCTGAACCTTGTTGTCCTCAGCTGCATAACAAGGATACCAGTGATTTTGGTGCCCTCCTGTCCCTCCCCCAGCCTCCTGTGAGGACCGCGTGAGATAATGTGTGTGGACGTACCTGATAAACTATCAAATGCCATCAGAAATTGTGGTCAGAGTAGTGGTTGTATTATTACCATTGTCTTATTTAGCTTAGTATTAAAGCTGTTATGCTTTTGCTCGCTAATGCAGTAAGCTATTCCGGGCCCATATTCTATATGCAAAACTTTTAAAAATTTCTAGTTAGTATTTAACTACTTATAATTTTTTGAAGTTTGGGTTGAAACAAATAATCATTATTCTTCTAAGTCTTCTAAAATTCTATTAAACTCAAATGAAATTAATTTTTAAATTGAGATTACCATTGGTTTATTTCTTTAAAAATTTGTTCACATTTTTAAATGATTAAAATTGAAAATATCAGTGAATTTTGTTGTTGTTAATCCTTACCTGAGGATATTCTTTCCACTAATTTTTAGAGAGACTGGAAGAGAGGGAGGGAGGAAAGGAGTGGGAAACATCAGTGGGAGAGATACACAACAATTGGTTGCCTCCTGCATGTGCCGTAGTACGGGGATGGAACCTGCAGCTTGAGTAAGCCACACCTGCAAGGGCTCAATGAAGATTCTTAATGGCTGCTTTTAATTCAGCCATGTTAGATAGGCCACCAGGCAGGGGATGTGGAAACTATTGTGGTGGGTTCCTGAAAACACTAAAGATGGATTTTGTTTGTTTAGGTTTCATAGACATTTTTTCGGAGTCCAAGGAAGGCCTGGGCGTTCACTCGTCAATGATCCTGCGCTTTTTGCATCGCAATCGGCTCTCTAGTATCGTCATCCCCTACCCCATGTTGGACCACTGCAATAACATGTGCACCATGAGGGCTTCTGTTCTGAAGGAGTCTCTGGATGAACTGGTACAAAAAGAAAAAGGTACGTGTGTGTGAATGGGGTGTCCTGAAAATTCTATCATCTTTCTTTCAAATGTAGTATTTAGTAACAGATGAGCCACCCCTTCTCCCTGCCGTTATTTGTTAAAATGTCATAGTGACCAGTTTGTCACATAAGAATGTCATCTGTTCACTCTTTCTTCCTTTTCCCTCCCCTTCTCCCTCCCTCTTTTCCCTCCCTCCCTTCCTCCCTCTTTCCCCCCCTCCTTCCTTATTTCCTTCCTTCCTTTTTAACACACTGGTTTCTTATCATTCAGGCATCTGCTCAAATGGGACTTCATGGAGCCCTTTCCTCATCTTCTGGTCACTATTACTTTTGCAGGTCTAGTGGTCTGATTGGCACTTAACATCATCTGAAGTTTTAGCATTATTATTTACTTGCAGTTTGTCTTGTTCAGTTCATTACCCATGGCACCTGGAACTGTGCTTGCCACTTAATTGCTACTCTAGGAGTAGCTGTTGAATAAATGAGGGAAGCGACTATAGACTCACTTAGTGATGGCAACAAAAGTTGATAATGTGAATAGACAGGTCTGTGGAACTTGATAGAGTTCAGTACATGTGGGAATGTAGTACCAGACATACTAGTAGTCAGTATTATAGATACGGTGGCAAGATGAATGACTCAACATGTGGGGTTAGGACAACTGGTTAGCTACTGGAGAAAAAATAAAACTAGAATCTTAACATATTTTATTCACTAAATTTCAGATAGATCAAAAAATTCAACTAAAAAGAAAACTTTAAGAGTATTAGAAGGAAATAGTTCCAATTTATAAAAACCCTGACATGGAAAACCCTTTCTAAGCAGTGCAGGAAACTCAGAAACTACAAAATAAAAGATTAATAAGTTAGACTAAATGCAAATTTAAATTTCTGTATGGCAAAAAGTGTAAGCAGAGTGAAAAGACAAATGACATTCTAGGACACAAGAATATTATGATGGGAGAGGTCAATGGGGAGAAAAGGAGACATACGTAATACTTTCAACAATAAATAATAAAAAAGAAGAATATATGACAGATTCAGTTTTTTACTAACACTGATCTTGGGCAATTACTCAACTCTTTGGGCCTTAGTTTCTTCATCTCCAAAATGCATTAATACACAAAACATGTATGGAAGAGTACCCAGCTCACAGTATACACTCAGTATATATCATCTATATGTATGTGTATATATACATTATATAATCTATGTGAAATAATGTAAATTGATAAGACTTATGACCCAGTAGAAAATAGATAAGGGTAGGACCAGCTCATACTCAGAAAAAAAAAAGTCCTACAAACAAGTAGCTTAAAAAGTTTCACTATAATTAAAGAAATGTAAATTAAATTATAAAATACCATTTTCTTCTCTTGGCATTGTTTTGCAAATACATCAGTGATTTAAGTATTGTGCTATAATGAGCTCATGGAGCAGTCCTTGGCCAATTTCTGATTTGTATGGGTTCTTTGGAAGGAGATTTTAAGGGACTTTTTTTTTCTAGGGCCAAGTGCCAAGCATATTTCTATTAGATTTCCCCTCCCAGTGTTCAGCTTTTTATTGCACGTGTCACAAAAGAGTTTTGTGGGGATCTAACTGGAAGCCCAGAGATGGATAAGCTCAAGTCAATAGCAAAGTGCTATGCTTATATAGAAACATCCTCCAACCCCACATAATCTTCTTTCTTTGCCTCCACTTTCTTCTCCTCAGCTGAGACAGCAGTGGTGGAGGAGCAGGACCCCCACACTGCACATGAGGCTCCCAGTGTTGACATTGGTCAGAGCCTTTTCAAACAAGCCTGGTCAGAAAGGTTCAACATTTACATCGTCACCTCATCATGATGCAGGATGAGGGCAGAGTAGAAGCCAGCGAGCTCTGACGGGGAGGCCATGGTGTGGGCAAGTGTTGGGCGAGCGCTGGATGAAGTGAGGGCCTCACCCCAACTTGGCCTTAACTCCCTCGGAAGGACCAAGCACATACTGGCAGTTGGGGAAAGGGGCTGGGTATTTTAAATGATTCCTTCTGCCCTAGCCAGTTTGGCTCAGTGGATAGGGCATTGGCCTGCGGACTGAAGGATCCCAAGTTCGATTCTGGCCAAGGGCACATGCCCAGGTTGCGGGCTCGATCCCCAGGAGGCAGCCATTCATTGGTGCTCTCTCATCATTGATGTTTCTATTTCTCTCCCTCTTGCTTCCTCTCAGAAATCAATAAGGAGATATATATTTAAATGATTCCTCCTTTTCCCCCCTGCCTTTGTGAAAGAGATGTCATATGATAAAATCTGGTTTTTCTTGCAGAAAGCCCTGGAGATCTAACTGGAAGCCCAGAGATGGATAAGCTCAAGTCAATAGCAAAGTGCTATGCTTATATAGAAACATCCTCCAACCCCACAGACATCGACAAGATGACAAATGGAGAAACGTCATCTTACTGGCAGTCAGATGGCAGTGCCCGCTCACATTGGATTCGGTGGGTGGTATGATACCAATTTTTGAGTGAAAGTTCAAGAAAATTACCTGCTTTCTTTCTCTTATCCCATCAGTGCATTAAAAATTTTTTTTAATTTTAAAATATTTTCTACTTAATTGCCTTGTGTTTTTCTTATTGTGATTATTTATGAAGGTGCTTTAAGAATCAAGTAAAAGCATCAGGTAATATGTAACTTGGTTCACATGGTCATAAACATAGATAATTTCTTTGATATTTTAAGGGAGAAAATAGCATTTGACTAATATTTTATGATACTGATTTCAGATTTTTTTCACTACTTTCTCAGGAAAATGGTATAATGGGCAAGTACTTTTCTTGCATCAGATGTGATTTCACTTTTTAAGATTTTTTTTCTGATCATTAAAAACAATTAGTATCAACTGAGTTGGCTAGTTTAGAAGAGGAAGAGGGTAGTCAGGAATCCCAGAATGAAATTGATATTTCTAGAAGTTCTGAAGCTGCTATGTAAATTTTCATCTATCCCTTCAGAGAATGGGCTAATTTCAGTTGGTGGAAATATAAATAATTATCATATCTTGTCATAGAGGGTACATATGATCTTTAGCCATCTAATGTGTAGATGAGGACATATGCTTAGTTCTTTGGATACAGTTTAGAATTTGCTTCTTGCCAGGTAAAAGGATTTTATCAGAATGTTTATATTGTATTTTGCTGCCTGTACTAATAGCTTAAAAGGAAATATAAGGTTAATCTTGAAGATAAATGAATTTTAGAGATTTGGGAAAGCCATAAGAACTTCAAAACTAATAGCCAGCATTTCAAGTAAGTTGGTTTTAGGAAAATCAGTCTTTGGGAATTTCAAATATAAGGCCTTGGAGATGAGACTTATGGAATTTGCCAATTCTTGACTTATGTAAACATTTGTTGTTTCTGTTCTCCATTTTTTCCAGTTTAAAAATGAAGCCAGATGTGGTACTTAGGCACCTATCCATTGCAGTGGCTGCCACTGACCAGAGCTACATGCCGCAGCAGGTGACAGTAGCAGTGGGAAGGAATGCCAGCGATCTTCAGGAAGTCCGTGACGTGCACATTCCCAGCAATGTCACTGGCTACGTGACACTGCTGGAAAACGCTAACATCAGTCAGCTCTGTGAGTGAACCAAGAAGCATCTTGCCCTTCTAACTAAGGGGATTGGGAAGGAGGAAGGAAGTAATCTTTTTTAGCACAAAGACCTCTGAGGTGGCAAAGCTTTTAGTTTTTCTTTGAAGATTTGATATGCTTCTCATGATGCACAAGAAATGATTTCACCTGTTTAGTGTTTTTAAAAGTATAGGAAAGAAGTAAAAACCATTTCAATTTTTATTTATTTGAGAGAGAGAGCAGAGAGAGGAGAGAGAGAAAAAGAGGAGGAGGAGAAGGGA